GAGTTCAGGCGTGACACTCAACAATGTGTATTTTCACCTTAGGGGACAAGAAAAAATTGACTTTTTTCTCCTGCCATGGGGGGGGCGCTCTTTTGGGGAGTAAAAATTCCTTCACAAATGTGTTGATGGCTGGACATTGCATCATCCTAGAAAACTTGGAGGCCAGTGAGGACAAAAATAAAAAGTTATAAGACTTTTAAATATTTGGATTTTAGGGTTATCTTTGGCGCCCCCTAGAACCTAAACCGTGGGGTGCAGCGTCATGATTTTTACAACTTTTAATGGCCATGGGGTGTAGATTGGCCTGAGCAAATTTGGTGCCGGTGGAACGAAAGCCTTCGGAGGAGTTAGCCACATTCCAATGTGTGCGGATCGGCAAAAAATGCGAAATAAACCTTTAACCGTACATTATACAGATACGCGCGCATGGACTTTTTCGTAGATCTTATTGAGATACACGTGTGTGTCAATTTTTGTGTCAATATGACAAAGCGTTTAGGCGTGACACTCAACAATGTGTATTTTCATGTTAGGGGACAAGAAAAACTTGACTTTTTTCTCCTGCCATGGGGGGGCGCTCTTTTGGGGAGTAAAAATTCCTTCACACATGTGTTGATGGCTGGACATAGCATCATCCTAGAAAACTTGGAGGCCAGTGAGGACAAAAATAAAAAGTTATAAGACTTTTAAGAATGTGGATTTTTGGGTTATCTTTGGCGCCCCCTAGAACATAAACCGTGGGGTGCAGCGTCATGATTTGTACAACTTTTAATGGCCATGGGGTGTAGATTGGCCTGAGCAAATTTGGTGCCGGTGGAACGAAAGCCTTCGGAGGAGTTAGCGAAATTCCAATGTGTGCGGATCGGCAAAAAATGCGAAATAGCCCTTTAACCGTACATTTGACAGATACGCCCGCACTGACTTTTTTGTAGATCTTATTGAGATACACATGTGTGTCAAATTTTGTGTCATTTTGACAAAGCGTACAGGCGTCAGGTGAGTTTTCACCATAGGGGGCGCTATGGAGCCATTTTTCATTTTTTTGTTTGGGCGACTTCAGAATATCAAATTTTTCACCAGGCCCGGTCGTCCTGCCAAATTTCCTGAGTTTTCGCCAGTGGGAAGTGGGCCATTTTCCAGTTTAAAGCGGAGGAAAAATAACGAAAGAAGAATCCATCAGGAACAAGAGGGCTCTCGCAGCTGCTTAGCAGCTACGCTCGGGCCCTAAAAAAATTGTCATCTTACCTTTACTTGTAGATGAAGTCCATGTGCTTCCCCCTCTGAACAGAATTCTGTGTTACTTTGATCTAAAAGTTATCTTTTTCTCAAGTTTTGAAAGTCTCTCCATCTCAATAGAGATTATTGACAGTGAAGAACTGGATCAATTGGCTCTCTATAATTTGTCTTCTTCTGCAAACAAGGAGTTAGCTGATGAAGCAGTTCTTGAATTTGTCCGAGGGACATTCTGAAATATTGTCTGAATTTTCTAATGATACAATTTAAGATGTTGTTGTGTGAAGCTCCCCCATCTCTTGTCACAAGGTAAGTATTGGATGTACCCAGACACTTTGATTCTTCTTTAGGGCCCGAGCGTAGCTGCTAAGCAGCTGCGAGAGCCCTCTTGTTCCTGCATGTTTCCTTCTTTTTAGGGCCCGAGCCAGCTGCAGAGCAGCCGGGCGTAGAGCCCTATTATTCCTGTATAGGTTTTTCTTTCTTCTTTCTTTCTTTCTTTCTTCTTATTTTTCCTCCCCTTTGAAGGGGAAAATGGCCCACTTCCCACTGGCGAAAACTCATGAAATTTGGCAGGACGACCGGGCCTGGTGAAAAATTCGATATTCTGAAGTCGCCCAAACAATAAAATGCAAAATGGCTCCAAAGCGCCCCCTAAGGTGAAAATTCACACTATTGACTGTCACGCCTTTACGCTTTGTCATATTGACACAAAAATTGACATACACATGTATCTCAATAAGATCTACAAAAAAGTCAGTGCGGGCGTATCTGTCAAATGTACGGTTAAAGGGTTATTTCGCATTTTTTGCCGATCCGCACACATTGGAATTTTGCTAACTCCTCCGAAGGCTTTCGTTCCACCAGCACCACATTTGCTCAGGCCAATCTACACCCCATGGCCATTCAAAGTTGTACAAATCATGATGCTGCACCCCACGGTTTACGTTCTAGGGGGCGCCAAAGATAACCCAAAAATCCACAGTCTTAAAAGTCTTATAACTTTTTATTTTTGTCCTCACTGGCCTCCAAGTTTTCTAGGATGATGCAATGTCCAGCCATCAACACATTTGTGAAGGAATTTTTTCTCCCCAAAAGAGCGCCCCCCCATGGCAGGAGAAAAAAGTCCATTTTTTCTTGTCCCCTAAGGTGAAAATACATATTGTTGAGATTCACGCCTATACGCTTTGTCATATTGACACAAAATTTGACAATCACGTGCCTTGCCTGGTATCATTTTTTTTCAGCACAACCTCACCTGTGCGAATTTACAGTTATTTTATCATGTTGACATACTGAATTTACACAATGGACCCAAATTCACACACAAAACATAAAATCCGAGTGGAAAAAAGTAACATTTTTACTGTGAAAACCACAAATATGTGTGATGAACTGTTTTTAAAACTTAAACTTCAAATAAAAATTGTAAACTTCAAAACATATGCAAATTTTTAACAAAGAACATAGTGATTTACCTCTATTTACATCAAAATGCAGGCAATGGCCCAGGCGTTCTTTGTAAAATTATTTACAAAACACTGTATAGTCTCACAAATGTCACTTTTTATTTATGCCACTACAAAAAAACATGATGTAAATGATGCATGATGTAAAACATGATGTAAAAAACTTGTGTAGATCCTCCTCTATGTCAGTCCATGTGTAATTTTTCCATAATTCTTTGTTTTTTGCAGCATTTTTGTTAGTGTAACTGCAGATTGTGCTGACAGTGTCTATGGCACAAAAAAAAAAAAATTAAAATGCCTCAACATGAACCCCTGGTGGTCTCTGAGGGTGAAACCTGCTAACTGCTGCAGCTCTGTCAGCTTCAGTCTCCCATGCAGAGCTCTGAGCGCATGTGTGGCTCTGCACCCTTAGCAGCGTTGCTAACTCCTCAGTAAGGAAAGCCTGCTTCATGTCAGAGTCTCTAAACTCCAGAAGAAGTCGATAAAAGTCCCTTTCTTTCTAAAAAAAAGTCGTTAGGGGGTCTGAAAAGTCATTGAATCTAACAACAAAGTCGCTAGGTTTGCAACTACGTGTCCCAGACTGCATCCCTGCTGAGAGTCCCTCCCTCGCTTCTCATGTTGCAGGAAGAACGTAAGCGCCCGCCCCTTGTCAATCAGTCACCATATAATTTTGGATTGGTTGTTGTGGTGAAGTTTTCCACCAATAGGAGAGATGTTGTGGTGTGTTTTTTTTTTCTTTTGGCAAGCCTTTTCCGCCTGTAAGACCTGTCGCTAATGTCTGCATGCTATGTTTTCCTGTCTCATACAGCGCGATCGAGCGCCGAACGTGATCAAAATAAGCAGAAAAAAAGTAGCGCGGACATAATTTATCATAACTCTGGTTTTATTTGGCCTATCAACACAATTTAAAAACTGGTATATAGGTTGAGGTCCTCACTTTTGAGATAAGTTGAAACGGAGAGTCAACGAGGCTCCGTCTTGCAGCTACATCCGGTTAAATATGTCATGTGACTTGAACGCACACACAGACACACACACACGCACACACACACACACACACACACACACAAACACTCACTCAGAGTCTGGTTTTTAGCACCTGCAAAAACATGCTATTTACATATTTGACAAGAATGCAGAGGCTCCTTTTGCCCCTGAAAAAAATCAAATTTCAAACACAACTTGACTGCTCATTTCTCCAAAAGACAACCATGAAGCTCCATCCAAACCTGAAGCAGGCAGTTGGTGCATGTGTACAGTAACCTGAGGGGAGTGAGGTGAGTGCTTCTGAGGAGAACATGAGCAGTGAAGATTCACCTTGGAGCTAGAACAGAGACATGCACATGATTATACAGGGGCAGGGGCTCAAGTTTTTTCCAGTCGTTTATACAATATGGAAATTAATGTGAAATTAAAACACAAAGTATTAATAGAAAGGTAATGACTGTCCTGTGTAGGTGACAGTGATATCCAATAGGCTAGGCACTCACGAGGCTGGCTGTGGCAAGTGTAAGTGAAAGCAACACGCACTGGCAGGAAGAACAGCAAACGCCGATGAAGGAAAAGGGTCTTTGCAGTGATGGGCGTTACCAGAGAGGGCGATGGCCAGAGGACACAAATGGGACGGGGAGGCAGCGCGTTGGGGGGGGGGGGGGGCGACACGGCTCGGGCCCGCCAGTGCCCCAACGGGGTCCTAGTGTTATTATTAGGGCCCGAGCGTAGCTGCTAAGCAGCTGCGAGAGCCCTATTATTCCCCAAGTGGTTTTTCTTTAGGGCCCGAGCGTAGCTGCTAAGCAGCTGCGAGAGCCCTATTATTCCTGATGGATTCTTCTTTAGGGCCCGAGCGTAGCTGCTAAGCAGCTGCGAGAGCCCTCTTGTTCCTGTAGTTTCCTTCTTTTGTTATTATTATTATTATTATTAGGGCCCGAGCGTAGCTGCTAAGCAGCTGCGAGAGCCCTATTATTCCTGATGGATTCTTCTTTCTTCTTATTATTATTATTTTTCTGCCCCTTTGAACTGGAAAATGGCCCACTTCCCACTGGTGAAAAGTCATGAAATTTGGCAGGACGACCGGGCCTGGTGAAAAATTCGATATTCTGAAGTCGCCCAAAAAATCAAATGCAAAATGGCTCCATAGCGCCCCCTAAGGTGAAAAATTCACATGATTGAGTGTCACGCCTGTACGCTTTGTCAAAATGACACAAAATTTGACACACACGTGTATCTCAATAAGATCTACAAAAAAGTCAGTGCGGGCGTATCTGTCAAATGTACGGTTAAAGGGCTATTTCGCATTTTTTGCCGATCCGCACACATTGGAATTTCGCTAACTCCTCCGAAGGCTTTCGTTCCACCGGCACCAAATTTGCTCAGGCCAATCTACACCCCATGGCCATTAAAAGTTGTACAAATCATGACGCTGCATCCCACGGTTTACGTTCTAGGGGGCGCCAAAGATAACCCAGAAATCCACATTCTTAAAAGTCGTATAACTTTTTATTTTTGTCCTCACTGGCCTCCAAGTTTTCTAGGATGATGCAATGTCCAGCCATCAACACATTTGTGAAGGAATTTTTACTCCCCAAAAGAGCGCCCCCCATGGCAGGAGAAAAAAGTCAATTTTTTCTTGTCTCCTAAGGCGAAAATTCACACTATTGACTGTCACGCCTTTACGCTTTGTCATATTGACACAAAAATTGACACACACATGTATCTCAGTAAGATCTACAAAAAAGTCAGTGCGGGCGTATCTGTCAAATGTACGGTGAAAGGGCTATTTCGCATTTTTTGCCGATCCGCACACATTGGAATTTCGCTAACTCCTCCGAAGGCTTTCGTTCCAAAGGCACCACATTTGCTGAGGCCAATCTACACCCCATGGCCATTAAAAGTTGTACAAATCATGACGCTGCACCCCACGGTTTACGTTCTAGGGGGCGCCAAAGATAACCCAAAAATCCACAGTCTTAAAAGTCTTATAACTTTTTATTTTTGTCCTCACTGGCCTCCAAGTTCTCTAGGATGATGCAATGTCCAGCCATCAACACATTTGTGAAGGAATTTTTACTCGCCAAAAGAGCGCCCCCCATGGCAGGAGAAAAAAGTCCATTTTTTCTTGTCTCCTAAGGCGAAAATACACATTGTTGACTGTCACGCCTTTACGCTTTGTCAAAATGACACAAAATTTGACACACACATGTATCTCAATAAGATCTACAAAAAAGTCAGTGCGGGCGTATCTGTCAAATGTACGGTTAAAGGGTTATTTCGCATTTTTTGCCGATCCGCACACATTGGAATTTCGCTAACTCCTCCTAAATCTTTTGTCCCATCGGCTTCAAATTTGCTCAGGTCAATCTACACCCCATGGCCATTAAAAGTTGTACAAATCATGACGCTGCACCCCACAGTTTACGTTCTAGGGGGCGCCAAAGAGGACCCAAATATCCACATTTTTAAAAGTCGTATAACTTTTTATTTTTGTCCTCACTGGCCTCCAAGTTTTCTAGGATTATGCAATGTCCAGCCATCAACACATTTGTGAAGGAATTTTTTCTCCCCAAAAGAGCGCCCCCCCATGGCAGGAGAAAAAGTCAAGTTTTTCCTGCCCATCGCTCAATGGCTCAAACGCATCGCTCTCTCTGCAAAACCGAAAGGAGGAGCAACTTGCCATTTGGATATATACTAGCTGTGTTTGTGCCCTCACTCATGGTCCAGACTTTTTTCAAATAGGACATGTAGTTTGTCTGCAGCGAGCGTTTTGGTAGAAACTGCGCCTCCCATTCATTATAATGGGAAATGACCACAGACAAGTGCGCACACCATCTTTGGACCTTGAGTGTGACGCAATCGGGAGGGGGAGGCGGTCGCGCTGGGGGCGGCGCGACGCGGCTCGGGCCCGACAGTGCCCCACCGGGGCCCTAGTTGTTTCTTTTTTCTTTTTCCTCCCCTTTGAACTGGAAAATGGCCCACTTCCCACTGGCGAAAACTCATGAAATTTGGCAGGACGACCGGGCCTGGTGAAAAATTTGATATTCTGAAGTCGCCCAAACAATACAATGCAAAATGGCTCCATAGCGCCCCCTAAGGTGAAAAATTCACCTGACGCCTGTACGCTTTGTCAAAATGACACAAAAATTGACACACACATGTATCTCAATAAGATCTACAAAAAAGTCAGTGCGGGCGTATCTGTCAAATGTACGGTTAAAGGGTTATTGCGCATTTTTTGCCGATCCGCACACATTGGAATTTCGCTAACTCCTCCGAAGGCTTTCGTTCCACCGGCACCACATTTGCTCAGGCCAATCTACACCCCATGGCCATTAAAAGTTATTCAAATCATGATGCTGCACCCCACGATTTAGGTTCTAGGGGGCGCCAAAGATAACCCTAAAATCCACATATTTCAAAGTCTTATAACTTTTTATTTTTGCCCTCACTGGCCTCCAAGTTTTCTAGGATGATGCAATGTCCAGCCATCAACACATTTGTGAAGGAATTTTTACTCCCCAAAAGAGCGCCCCCCCATGGCAGGAGAAAAAAGTCCATTTTTTCTTGTCCCATAAGGTGAAAATTCACACTATTGACTGTCACGCCTGTACGCTTTGTCAAAATTACACAAAAATTGACACACACATGTATCTCAATAAGATCTACAAAAAAGTCAAAAAGCGCGTATCTGTATAATGTACGGTTAAAGGGCTATTTCGCATTTTTTGCCGATTCGCACACATTGGAATGTGGCTATCTCCTCCTAAGGCTTTCGTCCCACCGATACCAAATTTGCTCAGGGCAATCTACACCCCATGCCCATTCAAAGTTGTAAAAATCATGCCGCTGCACCCCACGGTTTACGTTCTAGGGGACGCCAAAGATGACCCAAAAATCCACATTCTTAAAAGTCATTTTGGCCACTGCAGGAGTACAGAGTACTGCAGTTTTAGGGGGCGCCAAAGATGACCCAAAAATCCACATTCTTAAAAGTCTTTTTGGCCACTGCAGGAGTACAGAGTACTGCAGGATACACACACACACACACACACACACACACACACACACACACTCAGAGTCTGTTTTTTAGCACCTGCAAAAACATGCTGTTTACATATTTGACAAGAATGCAGAGGCTTCCTTTTGCCCCTGAAAAAAATCAGATTTCAAACACAACTTGACTGTTCATTTCTCCAAAAGACAACCATGAAGCTCCATCCAAACCTGAAGCAGATAGTTGGTGCATGTGTACAGTAACCTGAGGGGAGTGAGGTGACTATTTCTGAGGAGAACATGAGCAGTGAAGATTCACCTTGGAGCTAGAACAGGGACGTGCACATGATTATACAGGGGCAGGGGCTCAAGTTTTTTCCAGTCATTTATACAATATGGAAATTAATGTGAAATTAAACCACAAATATGTGTGATGAACTGTTTTTAAAACTTAAACTTCAAATAAAAATTGTAAACTTCAAAACATATGCAAATTTTTAACAAAGAACATAGTAATTTACCTCTATTTACATCAAAATGCAGGCAATGGCCCAGGCGTTCTTTGTAAAATTATTTACAAAACACTGTATAGTCTCACAAATGTCACTTTTTATTTATGCCACTACAAAAAAACATGATGTAAATGATGCATGATGTAAAACATGATGTAAAAAACTTGTGTAGATCCTCCTCTATGTCAGTCCATGTGTAATTTTTCCATAATTCTTTGTTTTTTGCAGCATTTTTGTTAGTGTAACTGCAGATTGTGCTGACAGTGTCTATGGCACAAAAAAAAAAAAAATTAAAATGCCTCAACATGAACCCCTGGTGGTCTCTGAGGGTGAAACCTGCTAACTGCTGCAGCTCTGTCAGCTTCAGTCTCCCATGCAGAGCTCTGAGCGCATGTGTGGCTCTGCACCCTTAGCAGCGTTGCTAACTCCTCAGTAGGGAAAGCCTGCTTCATGTCAGAGTCTCTAAACTCCAGAAGAAGTCGATAAAAGTCCCTTTCTTTCTAAAAAAAGTCGTTAGGGGGTCTGAAAAGTCATTGAATCTAACAACAAAGTCGCTAGGTTTGCAACTACGTGTCCCAGACTGCATCCCTGCTGAGAGTCCCTCCCTCGCTTCTCATGTTGCAGGAAGAACGTAAGCTCCCGCCCCTTGTCAATCAGTCACCATATAATTTTGGATTGGTTGTTGTGGTGAAGTTTTCCACCAATAGGAGAGATGTTGTGGTGTGTTTTTTTTTTCTTTTGGCAAGCCTTTTCCGCCTGTAAGACCTGTCGCTAATGTCTGCATGCTATGTTTTCCTGTCTCATACAGCGCGATCGAGCGCCGAACGTGATCAAAATAAGCAGAAAAAAAGTATCGCGGACATAATTTATCATAACTCTGGTTTTATTTGGCCTATCAACACAATTTAAAAACTGGTATATAGGTTGAGGTCCTCACTTTTGAGATAAGTTGAAACGGAGAGTCAACGAGGCTCCGTCTTGCAGCTACATCCGGTTAAATATGTCATGTGACTTGAACGCACACACAGACACACACACACGCACACACACACACACACACACACACACTCAGAGTCTGGTTTTTAGCACCTGCAAAAACATGCTATTTACATATTTGACAAGAATGCAGAGGCTCCTTTTGCCCCTGAAAAAAATCAAATTTCAAACACAACTTGACTGGTCATTTCTCCAAAAGACAACCATGAAGCTCCATCCAAACCTGAAGCAGGCAGTTGGTGCATGTGTACAGTAACCTGAGGGGAGTGAGGTGACTGCTTCTGAGGAGAACATGACCAGTGAAGATTCACCTTGGAGCTAGAACAGAGACATGCACATGATTATACAGGGGCAGGGGCTCAAGTTTTTTCCAGTCGTTTATACAATATGGAAATTAATGTGAAATTAAAACACAAAGTATTAATAGAAAGGTAATGACTGTCCTGTGTAGGTGACAGTGATATCCAATAGGCTAGGCACTCACGAGGCTGGCTGTGGCAAGTGTAAGTGAAAGCAACACGCACTGGCAGGAAGAACAGCAAACGCCGATGAAGGAAAAGGGTCTTTGCAGTGATGGGCGTTACCAGAGAGGGCGATGGCCAGAGGACACAAATGGGACGGGGAGGCAGCACGTTGGGGGGGGGGACGCGACACGGCTCGGGCCCGCCAGTGCCCCAACGGGGTCCTAGTTAGGGCCCGAGCCAGCTGCAGAGCAGCCGGGCGTAGGCCCTATTATTCCCCAAGTGGTTTTTAGGGCCCGAGCGTAGCTGCTAAGCAGCTGCGAGAGCCCTATTATTCCCCAAGTGGTTTTTCTTTGTTTCTTTCTTTCTTTCTTTCTTTCTTTCTTCTTTTTCCTCCCCTTTGAACTGGAAAATGGCCCACTTCCCACTGGCGAAAACTCATGAAATTTGGCAGGACGACCGGGCCTGGTGAAAAATTCGATATTCTGAAGTCGCCCAAACAATAAAATGCAAAATGGCTCCATAGCGCCCCCTAAGGTGGAAATTCACACTATTGACTGTCACGCCTGTACGCTTTGTCATATTGACACAAAAATTGACACACATATGTATCTCAATAAGATCTACAAAAAAGTCAGTGCGGCCGTATCTGTCAAAATTACGGTTAAAGGGTTATTACGCATTTTTTGCCGATCCGCACACATTGGAATTTCGCTAACTCCTCCGAAGGCTTTCGTTCCACCGGCACCACATTTGCTCAGGCCAATCTACACCCCATGGCCATTAAAAGTTATTCAAATCATGACGCTGCATCCCACGGTTTAGGTTCTAGGGGGCGCCAAAGATAACCGTAAAATCCACATATTTAAAAGTCTTATAACTTTTTATTTTTGTCCTCACTGGCCTCCAAGTTTTCTAGGATGATGCAATGTCCAGCCATCAACACATTTGTGAAGGAATTTTTACTCCCCAAAAGAGCGCCCCCCCATGGCAGGAGAAAAAAGTCCATTTTTTCTTGTCCCCTAAGGTGAAAATACACATTGTTGAGTGTCACGCCTGTACGCTTTGTCATATTGACACAAAATTTGACACACACATGTATCTCAATAAGATCTACGAAAAAGTCAATGCACGCGTATCTGTCAAATGTACGGTTAAAGGGTTATTCCGCATTTTTTGCTGATCAGCACACATTGGAATTTCGCTAACTCCTCCTAAGGCTGGCGTTCCACCGGCACCACATTTGCTCAGGCCAATCTACACCCCATGGCCATTAAAAGTTATTCAAATCATGACGCTGCACCCCACGGTTTAGGTTCTAGGGGGCGCCAAAGATAACCCTAAAATCCACATATTTCAAAGTCTTATAACTTTTTATTTTTGTCCTCACTGGCCTCCAAGTTTTCTAGGATGATGCAATGTCCAGCCATCAACACATTTGTGAAGGAATTTTTACTCCCCAAAAGAGCGCCCCCCCATGGCAGGAGAAAAAAGTCCATTTTTTCTTGTCCCATAAGGTGAAAAAACACATTGTTGACTGTCATACCTGTACGCTTTGTCATATTGACACAAAATTTGACACACACATGTATCTCAATAAGATCTACGAAAAAGTCAATGCGCGCATATCTGTAAAATGTACGGTTAAAGGGCTATTTTGCATTTTTTGCCGATTCGCACACATTGGAATGTGGCTAACTCCTCCTAAGGCTTTCGTCCCACTGACACCAAATTTGCTCAGGCCAATCTACACCCCATGGCCATTCAAAGTTGTAAAAATCATGACGCTGCACCCCACGGTTTACGTTCTAGGGGGCGCCAAAGATGACCCAAAAATCCACATTCTTAAAAGAATCCACATCCCCCCCCCTATGGCAGGAGAAAAAGTCAAGTTTTTCCTGCCCATCGCTCAATGGCTCAATCGCATCGCTCTCCAGGCAACACCGTAAGGAGGAGCAACCTGGCATTTCGATATATCATAGCTGTGTTTGTGCCCTCACTCATGGTCCAGACTTTTTTCAAATAGGACATGAAGTTTGTCTGCAGCGAGTGTTTTGGTAGAAACTGCGCCTCCCATTCATTATAATGGGAAATGACCACAGACAAGTGCGCACACCATCTTTGGTTCTTGAGTGTGACTCGATCGGGACGGGGAGGCGGTCGCACTGGGGGCGGCGCGACGCGGCTCGGGCCCGACAGTGCCCCACCGGGGCCCTAGTTCTTTGTTTCTTTCTTTCTTTCTTTCTTTCTTCTTTTTCCTCCCCTTTGAACTGGAAAATGGCCCACTTCCCACTGGCGAAAACTCATGAAATTTGGCAGGACGACCGGGCCTGGTGAAAAATTCGATATTCTGAAGTCACCCAAACAATAAAATGCAAAATGGCTCCATAGCGCCCCCTAAGGTGGAAATTCACACTATTGACTGTCACGCCTGTACGCTTTGTCATATTGACACAAAAATTGACACACATATGTATCTCAATAAGATCTACAAAAAAGTCAGTGCGGCCGTATCTGTCAAATGTACGGTTAAAGGGTTATTTCGCATTTTTTGCCGATCCGCACACATTGGAATTTCGCTAACTCCTCCGAAGGCTTTCGTTCCACCGGCACCACATTTGCTCAGGCCAATCTACACCCCGTGGCCATTAAAAGTTATCAAAATCATGACGCTGCACCCCAAGGTTTAGGTTCTAGGGGGCGCCAAAGATAACCCTAAAATCCACATATTTAAAAGTCTTATAACTTTTTATTTTTGTCCTCACTGGCCTCCAAGTTTTCTAGGATGATGCAATGTCCAGCCATCAACACATTTGTGAAGGAATTTTTACTCCCCAAAAGAGCGCCCCCCCATGGCAGGAGAAAAAACTCCATTTTTTCTTGTCCCCTAAGGTGAAAATACACATTGTTGAGTGTCACGCCTATACGCTTTGTCAAAATGACACAAAAATTGACACACACATGTAACTCAATAAGATCTACGAAAAAGTCAATGCGCGCGTATCTGTCAAATGTACGGTTAAAGGGTTATTTCGCATTTTTTGCCGATCCGCACACATTGGAATTTCGCTAACTCCTCCGAAGGCTTTCGTTCCACCGGCACCACATTTGCTCAGGCCAATCTACACCCCGTGGCCATTAAAAGTTATCAAAATCATGACGCTGCACCCCAAGGTTTAGGTTCTAGGGGGCGCCAAAGATAACCCTAAAATCCACATATTTAAAAGTCTTATAACTTTTTATTTTTGTCCTCACTGGCCTCCAAGTTTTCTAGGATGATGCAATGTCCAGCCATCAACACATTTGTGAAGGAATTTTTACTCCCCAAAAGAGCGCCCCCCCATGGCAGGAGAAAAAAGTCCATTTTTTCTTGTCCCCTAAGGTGAAAATACACATTGTTGAGTGTCACGCCTATACGCTATGTCAAAATGACACAAAAATTGACACACACATGTAACTCAATAAGATCTACGAAAAAGTCAATGCGCGCGTATCTGTCAAATGTACGGTTAAAGGGTTATTCCGCATTTTTTGCCGATCCGCACACATTGGAATGTGGCTAACTCCTCCTAAGGCTTTTGTTCCACCGGCACCACATTTGCTCAGGCCAATCTACACCCCATGGCCATTAAAAGTTATTCAAATCATGACGCTGCACCCCACGGTTTAGGTTCTAGGGGGCGCCAAAGATAACCCTAAAATCCACATATTTAAAAGTCTTATAACTTTTTATTTTTGTCCTCACTGGCCTCCAAGTTTTCTAGGATGATGCAATGTCCAGCCATCAACACATTTGTGAAGGAATTTTTACTCCCCAAAAGAGCGCCCCCCCATGGCAGGAGAAAAAAGTCCATTTTTTCTTGTCCCCTAAGGTGAAAATACACATTGTTGAGTGTCACGCCTATACGCTTTGTCATATTGACACAAAATTTGACACACACATGTATCTCAATAAGATCTACGAAAAAGTCAATGCGCGCGTATCTGTCAAATGTACGGTTAAAGGGTTATTCCGCATTTTTTGCTGATCCGCACACATTGGAATTTCGCTAACTCGTCCTAAGGCTGGCGTTCCACCGGCACCACATTTGCTCAGGCCAATCTACACCCCATGGCCTTTAAAAGTTATTCAAATCATGACGCTGCACCCCACGGTTTAGGTTCTAGGGGGCACCAAAGATAACCCTAAAATCCACATATTTCAAAGTCTTATAACTTTTTATTTTTGTCCTCACTGGCCTCCAAGTTTTCTAGGATGATGCAATGTCCAGCCATCAACACATTTGTGAAGGAATTTTTACTCCCCAAAAGAGCGCCCCCCCATGGCAGGAGAAAAAAGTCCATTTTTTCTTTTCCCGTAAGGTGAAAATTCACATTGTTGAGTGTGACACCTGTACGCTTTGTCATATTGACACAAAATTTGACAATCACGTGTATCTCAATAAGATCTACGAAAAAGTCAATGGGTGCGTATCTGTCAAATGTACGGTTAGAGGGCTATTTTGCATTTTTTGCCGATTCGCACACATTGGAATGTGGCTAACTCCTCCTAAGGCTTTCGTCCCACTGAAACCAAATTTGCTCAGGCCAATCTACACCCCATGGCCATTCAAAGTTGTAAAAATCATGACGCTGCACCCCACGGTTTACGTTCTAGGGGGCGCCAAAGATGACCAAAAAATCCACATTCTTAAAAGAATCCACATTCTCCCCCCCCTCATGGCAGGAGAAAAAGTCAAGTTTTTCCTGCCCATCGCTCAATGGCTCAATCGCATCGCTCTCCAGGCAACACCGTAATGAGGAGCAACCTGCCATTTGGATATATCCCAGCTGTGTTTGTGCCCTCACTCATGGTCCAGACTTTTTTCAAATAGGACATGAAGTTTGTCTGCAGCGAGTGTTTTGGTAGAAACTGCGCCTCCCATTCATTATAATGGGAAATGACCACAGACAAGTGCGCACACCATCTTTGGACCTTGAGTGTGACGCGATCGGGAGGGGGAGGCGGTCACGCTGGGGGCGGCACGACGCGGCTCGGGCCCGACAGTGCCCCACCGGGGCCCTAGTTATTTTTCCTCCCCTTTGAACTGGAAAATGGCCCACTTCCCACTGGCGAAAACTCATGAAATTTGGCAGGACGACCGGGCCTGGTGAAAAATTTGATATTCCGAAGTCGCCCAAACAAGAAAATGCAAAATGGCTCCAAAGCGCCCCCTAAGGTGAAAAATTCACCTGACGCCTGTACGCTTTGTCAAAATGACACAAAAATTGACACACACATGTATCTCAATAAGATCTACAAAAAAGTCAGTGCGGGCGTATCTGTCAAATGTACGGTTAAAGGGTTATTGCGCATTTTTTGCCGATCCGCACACATTGGAATTTCGCTAACTCCTCCGAAGGCTTTCGTTCCACCGGCACCACATTTGCTCAGGCCAATCTACACCCCATGGCCATTAAAAGTTATTCAAATCATGACGCTGCACCCCACGGTTTAGGTTCTAGGGGGCGCCAAAGATAACCCTAAAATCCACAAATTTCAAAGTCTTATAACTTTTTATTTTTGCCCTCACTGGCCTCCAAGTTTTCTAGGATGATGCAATGTCCAGCCATCAACACATTTGTGAAGGAATTTTTACTCCCCAAAAGAGCGCCCCCCCATGGCAGGAGAAAAAAGTCCATTTTTTCTTGTCCCATAAGGTGAAAAATTACACTATTGACTGTCACGCCTGTACGCTTTGTCAAAATTACACAAAAATTGACACACACATGTATCTCAATAAGATCTACAAAAAAGTCAGTGCTAGCGTATCTGTCAAATGTACGGTTAAAGGGTTATTGCGCATTTTTTGCCGATCCGCACACATTGGAATTTCGCTTACTCCTCCGAAGGCTTTCGTTCCACCGGCACCACATTTGCTCAGGCCAATCTACACCCCATGGCCATTAAAAGTTATTCAAATCATGACGCTGCACCCCACGGTTTAGGTTCTAGGGGGCGCCAAAGATAACCCTAAAATCCACATATTTAAAAGTCTTATAACTTTTTATTTTTGTCCTCTCTGGCCTCCAAGTTTTCTAGGATGATGCAATGTCCAGCCATCAACACATTTGTGAAGGAATTTTTACTCGCCAAAAGAGCGCCCCCCCATGGCAGGAGAAAAAAGTCCATTTTTTCTTGTCCCATAAGGTGAAAATACACATTGTTGACTGTCATACCTGTATGCTTTGTCATATTGACACAAAATTTGACACACACATGTATCTCAATAAGATCTACGAAAAAGTCAATGCGCGCGTATCTGTAAAATGTACGGTTAAAGGGCTATTTTGCATTTTTTGCCGATTAGCACACATTGGAATGTGGCTAACTCCTCCTAAGGCTTTCGTCCCACTGACACCAAATTTGCTCAGGCCAATCTACACCCCATGGCCATTCAAAGTTTTAAAAATCATGATGCTGCACCCCACGGTTTACGTTCTAGGGGGCGCCAAAGATGACCCAAATATCCACATTCTTAAAAGAATCCACATCCCCCCCCCCCCCCCTTCCCCCATCCCCCATCCCCCATGGCAGGAGAAACAGTCAAGTTTTTCCTGCCCATCACTCAATGGCTCAATCGCATCGCTCTCCCGGCAACACCGTAACGAGGAGCAACTTGCCGTTTGGATATATCGTAGCTGTGTTTGTGCCCTCACTCATGGTCCAGACTTTTTTCAAATAGGACATGTAGTTTGTCTGCAGCGAGTGTTTTGGTAGAAACTGCGCCTCCCATTCATTATAATGGGAAATGACCACAGACAAGTGCGCACACCATCTTTGGACCTTGAGTGTGACGCGATCGGGAGGGGGAGGCGGTCGCACTGGGGGCGGCGCAACGCGGCTCGGGCCCGCCAGTGCCCCAACGGGGCCCTAGTTCTTTGTTTCTTTTTTCTTTTTCCTCCCCTTTGAACTGGAAAATGGCCCACTTCCCACTGGCGAAAACTCATGAAATTTGGCAGGACGACCGGGCCTGGTGAAAAATTTGATATTCCGAAGTCGCCCAAACAAGAAAATGCAAAATGGCTCCATAGCGCCCCCTAAGGTGAAAATTCACACTATTGACTGTCACGCCTGTACGCTTTGTCAAAATGACACAAAAATTGACACACACATGTATCTCAATAAGATCTACAAAAAAGTCAGTGCGGGCGTATCTGTCAAATGTACGGTTAAAGGGCTATTTCGCATTTTTTGCCGATCCGCACACATTGGAATTTCGCTAACTCCTCCAAAGGCTTTTGTTCCACCGGCACCACATTTGCTCAGGCCAATCTACACCCCATGGCCATTAAAAGTTATTCAAATCATGACGCTGCACCCCACGGTTTAGGTTCTAGGGGGCGCCAAAGATAACCCTAAAATCCACATATTTAAAAGTCTTATAACTTTTTATTTTTGCCCTCACTGGCCTCCAAGTTTTCTAGGATGATGCAATGTCCAGCCATCAACACATTTGTGAAGGAATTTTTACTCCCCAAAAGAGCGCCCCCCCATGGCAGGAGAAAAAAGTCCATTTTTTCTTGTCCCCTAAGGTGAAAATACACATTGTTGAGTGTCACGCCTGTACGCTTTGTCAAAATGACACAAAAATTGACACACACATGTATCTCAATAAGATCTACAAAAAAGTCAATGCGCGCGTATCTGTCAAATGTACGGTTAAAGGGTTATTCCGCATTTTTTGCCGATCCGCACACATTGGAATTTCGCTAACTCCTCCGAAGGCTTTCGTTCCACCAGCACCACATTTGCTCAGGCCAATCTACACCCCATGGCCATTAAAAGTTATTCAAATCATGACGCTGCACCCCACGGTTTAGGTTCTAGGGGGCGCCAAAGACAACCCTAAAATCCACATTTTTAAAAGTCTTATAACTTTTTATTTTTGTCCTCACTGGCCTCCAAGTTTTCTAGGATGATGCAATGTCCAGCCATCAACACATTTGTGAAGGAATTTTTACTCCCCAAAAGAGCGCCCCCCCATGGCAGGAGAAAAAAGTCCATTTTTTCTTGTCCCCTAAGGTGAAAATACATATTGTTGAGATTCACGCCTATACGCTTTGTCATATTGACACAAAATTTGACAATCACGTGCCTTGCCTGGTATCATTTTTTTCAGCACAACCTCACCTGTGCGAATTTACAGTTATTTTATCATGTTGACATACTGAATTTACACAATGGACCCAAATTCACACACAAAACATAAAATCCGAGTGGAAAAAAGTAACATTTTTACTGTGAAAACCACAAATATGTGTGATGAACTGTTTTTAAAACTTAAACTTCAAATAAAAATTGTAAACTTCAAAACATATGCAAATTTT